TGGGTGCCACTTCAGATCTAGGTAAGCTAGAAGATGAAAGAATAGAAAAATATATCCTCTTCCTCCATGGAACAGCTTGAAAGAAAAAGAATCACCCTGAATTATCCTGAGACACACACACATCACACATTCACTCCATACACTACATTGCAGACATGTGTGTCAATACTGAGAAATAGTCATGAAAAGCATAATGAACAGTGTCAGGACAACCAAAGAAGCATCTCTGGGTGCAGGTACTCATGCAGAGCCCCACAGAGCAGATACTGAATTCAGATGGCTATGCCAGAGGATGGCCATAGAGGTAATAGTGTTTTGTGGATAAGTGTGTGTTTTCTTCTCAGCTACTCACCACACATCCTACAAACATTGCCAATAGTGAACCACATTCTGTGCAAAGAAGGAAAGGACAGAGTCAGTCACTACAGGTAATTCTCAACCAAGATGGGAGATCCTGCGTGCAGTGAAGAAGCCCATCCTATCACAACAAACAGAACCCCCTCCAAGGTTTCTGAGAGGAAAACCTTGGAAAGTAAATCTCCAAGTGGAAGAGACTAGGGGCTCTTTGCAGGTACATGTATTAACTATGTGATTATTTTGCAAAACTAATTTGCTTAAGTGAGGAAAGGAAGAGTTCTAACATTTATTGAATATGTATTATGCAAAAGATACACTCTCAACATTTTTCTTACTCAACATTTTGAAATAACCCTGAGAAATGAGTTTTATGACCCATTTTACAGGGAAATAAGGTTGTAAAAATTGTAATAGGCAGAAAGAATGTGCTATTTAAGTTTCAGCTGCTATTAATGCCAAGACTATTGCCAAAGAGCACTAAAAGTGTTCTAATTATTTAAAACTCTCAATAGTCCCAACAATTTTTGAGATAAAGAGCCTAAGGCTGAGTAGCTTGTCCAAGTTACGGGACTGGGAAATGGTGGAGCTGAGGCTTGGGACTGAGCTGCCTGACTCCAGAGACTAATTCCTTAAGCACAGACACTGGGTAAAACCTGCAAAAGACATTCTATCATATCTGCATTATTGCAGGTTCTACACATGTGAGTCCTTATTTTTCATTTGCCTTAGAGGAATGGGCAAGAATGGAAAGAAAGGTAACTGATAGTAGAATTTTAGTGCTGAGTTTCCCAACTGGGGACAATTCTGCAATGGCTGCGCTATTGTTTGTCACAACTGAGAGAAAATGCTTCTGGCATCTAATGGAAGAGCCCAGGATGCTACTAAATGCCCTGTAATGCATAGGACAGCACCCTCCCTCAGCAGTGACCCACTTTAAAGTGCCAATTGTGCCAAGGTTGAGAAAACCTACTCTAGAAAACTTAGAAAAAGTTGGGATCTGGCCTAGAAAATAAAAAAATATGTTGACCAAGGCTCACGCTGCTTTCCCATTGGAAAAATGGGAATGTTTTACAGCTGTAAAATCTATGGAGGCTGAGCCATGTGAGATGCCAAACAATGCAAGCTGTGCCTGCAAGATGCCAAAACAAGGACAATATAAGAAAACGCTCTTTAAAGGAGTATTTAAAATATACCTGAGATCTTACTTTTATTGAAGGAATGGTGGGATGAACAGATCAGATCATTGCCATTGAAAAGATTGTTACTTACAGTTCCCATGAGGAGAGAAAATGCCACACTATACAAGACCATGCAGGAAAGAACTAAGGTTGATCAGAAGGCAGGAGGAGTGAGACAAATACATACGTCAAAGCCTTATGCATTCACTGGGTTTTGTGGGAAGAACTGAGTGAGGCAGGGTAAGCAACTGAGAAAGTTTAGGATTACATTGAATAATAGTATCAGCGGGCTCTCGGCGACAGGGGTAATCTCTCATTGTCTGGGACATGGCCCGATGGTGATTTAGGGCATAGGAATAGTGTCCTGGACTCTAGAATCCTGATATTTGGAGGCAGATGGCTGGTTTTCACATTGAAGCTATTCTCCCAGGCAAGTTGTTTACTATGTATAAGAATTGGCTAACCCCCAAAAGAAGCAGTTCTCCCTGTCCTGTGAACCATCAAGAAAACAAAGCACTGTAAAACAGAGAAAATAGATGCAGTGTGTTATATCTTAACTAAAAGCTCATCTTGAATTGTTTGGGTTTAACAGTGTTAACTTCTCATGCTCAGCTTCAGAGACAGGCTGTGGGAGCAAGACCTGCTATACTCAGTATATTTGATTCAGCTGAGTATATTTGATCTGTGTGTGTCCAGTGTGAGCAGCCTGGAAATGGTGGAGTTTAAAGCCATAGATTAGAAGAGCCACATGGCTTAGCAGGATGAGCCAGCATGAACACTGGGGAAAGGCTTTCCCTGTGACATACGGTGAGACCTAAGGCAAGTTGTGTCTTCTAAGTTCCTTTGCACATTTAACCATGAGAGGTGGGCAGTGGGTCTCAACTCAGTTGACACTTCAGAGTAGCCTGGGAGGTTTCAGAAGCACAGGTGCTCAGGTCTCACTCCCAGGGATTTGATTCAGGGAAACAGGAAATACAGATCTCCCATAGATTATATGGGCTTCCCAGGTGACCCTAGTAGTAAAGAAGCCGCCTGCCAATGCAGGAGACATGAGATACAGGTTCGATCCCTGCGTCAGGAAGATCCCCTGGAGAAGGGCATGGCAACCCACTCCAGTATTCTTGTCTGGAAAATCTCATGAACAGAGGAGCCTGGTGCGCTACAGTCCGTGGGGTTGCAAAGAGACAGGCCTGAGGCGACTTGGGACACACCCATGCATTGTAAATTACAGCTTGCCCCTAATTTGTAAATTTGTAAATTTGTAATAGATTGTACAGCCCTGCTAGTGATTCTGAAGGACATGCAAATAAAGGCCATAGTTTGTCACATCTCTGGCACGCCTCTGAAATTTGTGGCGCCTCCAGCCCAGTCTCAGTGACCCAGCGGTGTTCAGCAGCTCCAAAATTCTCCCATATTCTCAGCTCATAATAGGACACTGGGCAGTTCAATTTATTTCCTTTCAATCTCTTCATTTAAGTCACTTGCTATCAAACTCAAGACTGGAGATATAAACCAGAATTCAAGTTATTTCCTAGGATTTGGGACATTTGGAACCAAGAATCCAGGAGAACTCAAAATTTCAGGGAATTTGCCTGGTGGGCAGTTCCCTGCAGGCTCACTTATAGCAGAATAAGTAGTCTGAGTTTGACCCTTGTCTACACTTTTTAAAATTGCCTTAGGATGACATATTTGCCATCATAGCTTGACATTGACTGATTGACTTTGCCTGAATAAATGTAATTTAACAAGAGAGAACTTTAAAGCCTCAGAGCCTTCCTAAGGGAAACACTGAAACTGATTTACTTACGCCTACCATGGCATCTACAGGTTTATACTTATCACGAAGACCATTTACTATCAAAAATTTAAAAGGGATCTTCTTACTAAGATAATAAGACTTAGCTATAGGGAAACCATTTAAACGAGGTGACAGTTATCAATGTTTTAAAGAATAATAATAGTATTAACTATATGCCAACAATTTAGAAAACTTAGACAAAATTTATAAAATTCCTGGAAAAACAAAGAATGCCAAATTTGGCAAGATAATTGAATAAACCATTGAGCATTAAAAATACTGTTTTGACCAAAAAATAAAAATAAACGAGGTGACAGTTATGAAGATGAGGACAACATACTTCCAGAAACCCATGTAAAAAATGATTATAAGCTCTGAACACAATGAGTGTATCTGGGACTCCTGAGGGACAAGGTGGCAAGAGAAACACGGCCATGCCTGGCTCTGCTAGCTGATAAAGCACACTTTGTCTGCCACAGTCACAGGCTCTCATCTATTTCTAACAGAAGTGCATCACATAGATACCCAAGTACATAAAAATTTGTGTGTGCATGCTCAGTCGTGTTTGACTCTTTGCCACTGCAGGGACTGTAGTTCCTACGCTCCTCCGTCCACTGGGATTTTGCAGGCAAGAATATTGGAGTGAGTTGCCATTTCCCCCTCCAGGGGATCTTCTCAACCCAGGGATCAAACTCATGTCTCCTGCATCTCCTGCATTGGCAGGCAGAAAATAAGAATTTTGAACCATATAATTCATATAGGTGTGGACCTAGTTCTCAGACTAAGCATGAGATTAAATGTTTCCTTTTTATAATTTTTTTCCTGTGTGCCTATTTATTCACTGGAAATATTGCTAAGGATGCTAAGTATATTTTTATAAAAACATAAGGTGTTCTAGGGCACTGTGGTTCCCTTTCTAACTTTTTGAGATGGAAACTTTTATCATTGGTTTGTCTTTCCTCTTTTCTAACGTTTGTATTCTGAGTTTTAAGTCCCCCTCTGAACACTGCCTTGGCTGAATACCATGTCTGTTATAGTAGTTTTTTTTGTGAAAGATTGTCGACCCTATAGCAATCTGCAAGACTGTCAGGAAGAACTCTCACAGCCCCTTAGTCAGGCTTGCCAGTTACTTTCTGCTGTTCATCTATCGCCTTCTCTCTGACTAAGAGTGGACGCTTCTGAGCCCTTGGTGAACTCTTGGTGAGCCGATTCACTTTCCTCCCAACAGTGCAGTTCAGCAGGAGGCAGTCAGAGGGACCTGGAACCATTCCTCCTCCACTAACTTTGTTCTCACCAGCCTTTTTAATGAGAGCAGGATGCACTTGTTCCTCTTCAGCATGGTGGTGGTCATCTACGCACTTGCCATGGCCGGCAATGCTGCCATGGTCCTCCTGATCTGGGCAGATGCCCGGCTCCACACACCCATGTACTTCCTCCTCAGCCAGCTATCCTTCTTGGACATCTTCTTCACCTCAGTCACTGTCCCCAAGATGATAGCAGGCTTCCTCTTTGGATGGATAAGCATCTCATTTGGAGGCTGTGGAGCACAAATGTTTTTCTTCATGTTCCTGGGGGCTGCAGAGTGCATCCTGCTGGCCCTCATGGCCTATGACCGCTACGTGGCCATCTGTAATCCTCTGCGCTACCCGGTGCTCATGAGTCGCCAGACCTGCCTGCTCCTGGTGGCTGCCTCCTGGCTGGGAGGGTCACTCAACGCCTCCATCCAGACTGCACTGACCCTGCAGTTCCCCTACTGCGGCTCACGGAAGATTGCACACTTCTTCTGTGAGGTGCCTTCACTGTTGAGGTTGGCCTGTGCTGACACAGCCGCCTATGAGCGGGTGCTCTTTGTGACGGGTGTGGTGGTCCTCCTGGTGCCCATTGCCTTCATCACCACCTCCTATGCCTTAATCCTGGCAGCTGTGCTCCGGATGCACTCTGTGGAGGGGCGTAAGAAGGCCCTAGCCACCTGCTCCTCCCACTTGGCAGTCGTCAACCTCTTCTACGGGCCCCTTGTCTACACTTACATGTTACCTGCATCCTACCACTCTCCTGGCCAGGATGATGTAGTATCCATCTTCTATACGGTCCTCACACCCATGTTGAATCCTGTCATCTACAGCCTCAGGAACAAAGAAGTAACAGGAGCAATGAAGAAGGTCATAGGGAAGTGTGGGGTAGGTAGGACTGTTTAAGACCCAGCAGAGAAGGATCCTCACCTCTAAGATGTGCCTGTAGCTCCAGGTGCCCATTCTAGGATTGCCTTCCAGAATGAGCAATCTCAAATCCACATACAGAAAAGTGAAAGGGGCACTCCTCATTCCCTTCCAGCTCCCACACTTCAAAGAGATGTCCAGATGGTTTGTGTCCGCTCCCCACTCACCTTCCCCACCTCGACAAACCCCAGGCCAGCTTCTCCATCCATCCCTTGTCTGAAGCAGCAGTCATTCATCATCTCCATGTCACTGGGTGTCCAAGGGCTTCCCTTCTCTGCAAAGGGCCTTAATTGCTGGCTATTTCCCCAAACATCTCCTTCATTCTTCTCCCCCAGCTACAATAACTCTCTCACTGTTGCTCAAAATTCATAAGCACAATCCCACCTAGGGGTCCTTCAACGCAGATGTCTCAATGCCTGGGCACTTCCCCCTACATGTTCGCATGGTTTTTGCCTTCACTTCATTTATGAACTGCTCAAATGTGACTTTTAGGGATTCCTTCACTGGCCATCCTGTCCAAAATGTCATTCCCACTCCATCATCTTTTTCTAACTTCATTTGTGTATTCTACATTTCTTTTTCCCTTTAAATGTACGGGAATACAGAGGCTTTGATTCTTAATTCTGATTCCTAGAAGAATGACGGGCACAGGGTCCATCAATAAATACTGGTTGAATCAACAGATAAAGCTAAAGAACATTTTCTTACCTTATCCAATATTGGCACTGTTGTTAGTTCCTCCTTGAAGATCTCTCTTCTGGCCCACCCCTTCCTATTGAGTAATGAGTGCCTCTGGACCTGGTGCCTACCCCTTCTCAATCCACACTCTCTCTTATCACTCTAATTCATGGCTATGACTTCAGTTACCACCTGACACCAAACTTGGTCATATATTTATAAGCTAGCCAGATATCTCCTATAAGACTTTTAATACCCAACTCCACATGACACCCCACTGGATGTTTCAAAGGTACCTCAAATTCATCACGCCAAGACACAAAGTCATGATCTCACTTTCATGTCAGGTTGAGTGAATGTCTCACCAGCTCAGTAGGTGTGCATCACCACTCATATTCAGTCTCTCACAAGGTCCTCAAGACCGTCCCTTTGACTGTCAACGCTTACCTTCCCTTAGGGTGCATTCCCTTAGGGCCGCAGCTACCACTACCGTAGTCTAAAGATACAGTGGATGAGTCAGGAATGTCCAAACAGATCTCCTTGCCCCATTCTTACCACACCTCATGTACAAAACCACAGGTTCTTTCCTCGAGATGTAGCCAACAAGATTTCTGAACACAAATCTAACACCATGCCACCGACTTCACCCTATAGCCTCCCCTTAAATTGTTTCAGCAATTGCCATTGTTCCCTCATGTGTTATCCTCTGACACATGACATATTTTTACATACATATATTGTTTGCCACCTGTCTTCTACTCTAAGGTAAGCTCCATGAGGACAAATGTTGTCTTTGCACTTGACACATAGTTGGCATTTATTAAATATTGAATAATGACTACATGAATGAATTAACGCACTCAGGCAAAACAAATAGTCTTTCCCATTGCTTACAAAACCCTGAAGAGTCTGGTCTTCTTGGCTTCATCTCATGTTTCTTTCGCCTTAATCCTGCTCCTCTGCTCCTTCTTCCTTCCAGGTCATTTCCAGAGCTGTTCCTCTGCCTGGGATGCTGCTTTCTCCTCTATGCTTAAAATCCTTCCTTCCTTAGCCCAAGTATCATCTCTTCAAGGAATTCTCCATAATCCAAAACTAAGTCAAGTTCTTTTAGATATGTCCCATATCCTTCCTAGCCTTTAGTTCTTCAATTAAGTCTGTCTCCTCACAGTGCGCGAGAGCAGGGAGTCTCCATGACTTCCCACAGTGCCTAACTTTGCACCTGGAACATTATAATGCCTCAATAAGTATCAAAAAGAAAGAAAGGAAGAATACAGGCGGAAAGGAGGGAAAGCAGAAGGCAGCAGGAAAGCAGGGAGGGAAGAAGAGATAGAGCCTGATTTGCAGTATTGTACCTCCAAATTAGACCATACTGCACCATAAATCTTTGCTTACATAATGTAACTGCCGTAAGAGATGCCACCAATGACTCTATGTATTTTAAGACGTCTCTAAAAGTCTTCAGAGGCCAGAAATCCATCCTGAAAGCCCAATCTACATCCTTTATACCAAACCTGGATAATAAAAATTGAGAACAGGCCAGCCTTTTCTTCCACTTCTGGTCATATATAATGAGGATACCATTGTGTTTCCAGAAGCTTCAGGGGCATCTTCAGTAGGAGTTAGCAGTGTAGCAGAAGACATCAAGACCAAAATCAACTATCAGACTGTCCCTTTTGACAGTTGCTGCCCCCACCAGGGTCAGACCAGGAACTACTGACAGAACTACCTGACTTCCACTGCTATGAGAAGGCAATGACTGCTAAAGAGGGAGAGAGAAGTGGCATGTGCTAATGATACCTTCATGTGTAAAAGTCCTTCTACCCCATATCCTGGGTATCAGCCTGGAATGACTGGCAGACAGAAAGAATGTTTCCTGGGAAGATGTGATCTGGCTCCATCCCACTTCCTCTGTCCTCCATCCTTCTCCCAGTGTGGTGAAGGAGAACCTAAGTACATGGTGATCCCTACCTTAGGATCCTGAATCATGGCTTAACTAATGATAAATTACTCATTAGAAAAGTTGGCTGGGGGGTAGGGGATGAGAACATCATTGAGAAGTATGTTTTCACCCAAACACTTTAACCACATTCCCTTCTCAAGAAGAGATTAACTAAGGGGAGAGTGAGTTCTATTCCAAAGGATTATGTGCAGGCCAACATTTTATAATCTCATCCCACCACAGAATTCCAGAACAGGATCCCCTTCTTCACCACAATTCCCAACTCTGTACATTATAAGCATGATCTTTAACTCCTTAGCACTTGCCCAAGCAAAGGAGAAATCCATAATTTGCAGCTATTGATATGTCTGAGCTCTCACTCATCAAATAGGTAGGCAAGTTTTGAAAACTGACAAGTGGAAGATAACCTGTCTACTCGTGCCTTCCTGTGCTACAGAGAGCAAGCTATATTAAGATATAAAGTTTGACCTTCTTCTTTGTAAATATACCCCAATTTCAACTGAGCAGACACTGCCTAGAATACGTGTCCCGGTTATCAGTGCAGCTAGGTGTGGCTGTGCACCTAAGCTCTGCATGGTGGCCCCTAAGCACACATGCAGCCGTTCAGCAGGGTCCTCAGACATCAGGGCAGCGTCGCGTCCTCTCCACCCCGCCACACTTTCCTTCTGGCTGACATGTAGTCATGACAAACGGAGCTTCAGTGGACATCTTGGAATATGAGGTAGAAACCAGGAAATGAGAATATCAGAACAGCAATAAGGAAGGAAATTGAGTTTCTGAAATCATGGAGTTGATCAACCACTGTGTTTTCTGGCACTTGCAATGAATCTAATTCTAATTAACAACACTTCACACCACAAAAGTGACAGGAAGAGTTGACCCTTTTCATGGTGTGGCAGGAATGGCTGTATAGCCCCATACTGCTGGAATGCCAGGGGAAAAAAAATACTTTCTGAAAACTAGGTTAAACACACCAAAATGTACACACCAGAATACAACATGAGGACTGTAAGTAGCTTTGAGAATTTGATCTCCACATGGAAAAAAATGGCAAACTCCAATTAGAACTGGCATTTAAGAAAGTACACATCATAGAATTTCCAATTTATGATGTAGGCTACTAGCTTTTTCCTTTTAATATAATATGAAAACATGAAAATGGGAAGATTTGTCTCATGCACCCAACCTGGGCTGGTGATCTGTTTCACCCTAGATAATATACATGTTTCGATGCTGTTCTCTTGAAACATCCCACCCTCGCCTTCTCCCAGAGTCCACAAGTCTGTTCTATACATCTGAGTCTCTTTTTCTGTTTTGCATATAGGGTTATCATTACCATCTTTCTAAATTCCATATATATGTGTTAGTATACTGTGCTCGGGCCTGGTGCACTGGGAAGACCCAGAGGGATCGGGTGGAGAGGGAGGTGGGAGGGGGGACCGGGGTGGGGAATACATGTAAATCCATGGCTAATTCATTTCAATGTATGACAAAAACCACTGCAATGATGTAAAGTAATTAGCCTCCAACTAATAAAAATAAATGGAAAAAAAAAAAGAAAATGGGAAGATTTTAAAACTGACTCAGCAGGAAATATTTGGCAAAAGACATGGGAAAGCCTAGCTCTATTAGACATGAAAGATGCCAAGCATCCTTCATCATAAGTCCTATACTTAGGAAGCAGAAGAAATAATAAGAAACATAATCTAGATAGGGATCTTGTTATGTCTGTTATGTGTGTGCATGTGTGCTCAGTCGTGTCCAACTCTTGGCAACCCTATGCACTGTAGCCCACCAGGCTCCTCTTTCCATGGGATTTCCCAGGCAAGAATACTGAAGTCAGTTGCCATTTCCTTCTCCAGGGAATCTTCCCAACCAAGGGATCAAACCTGTGTCTCCTGCATCTCTTGCATTGGCAGGCAGATTCTTTACCACTAAGTCACCTGGGAAGCCCGTAGATAGAGATCTAGATAGATAAAGCTTTTAGATATAGATCTCAGATAGGTCAGATCTCAGATGATAGGTCATATACTTATATACACATATGATAGATAACAGATAGATGATAAATAGATCACTGACTAGATAGGTGATAGATAGATACACAGATAGATAATCACATTTTCTTCATTCACTCCTCCATAGATGGACATTTACATTGTTTCCCTATCTTGGCTATAGTGAATAATGCATCAATGAACATGGGAGTACATATACCTCTTCAAGACACTAATTTCACTTCCTTTGGGATTATCCAGAATTGTGATTGCTGGATCATATAGTAGTTCTATTTTTAGTTTTTTGAGGATAATGTTTGTTTATGCAAGTGTAAGTAGTGTTT